GTTATCGTAGCTTAAACAAAGCATAACACTGAAGATGTTAAGATAGGCCCTAGAAATGCCTCGAAAACACAAAGGCTTGGTCCTGACTTTCCTGTCAGCTTTAACCAAATTTACACATGCAAGTATCCGCACCCCTGTGAGAATGCCCTACAGTTCCCCGCCCGGGAACAAGGAGCTGGTATCAGGCACATACTTTTATAGCCCACAACACCTTGCTTAGCCACACCCCCAAGGGAACCCAGCAGTGACAGACATTAAGCCAATGAGTGTAAACTTGACTTAGTTATGGTTAAAAGGGCCGGTAAAACTCGTGCCAGCTACCGCGGTTATACGAGAGGCCCAAGTTGACAAGCTCCGGCGTAAAGCGTGGTTAAGGAATAATAAACACTAAAGCCGAACGCTTACTAGACTGTTATACGTTTCCGAAAGTAAGAAGCACATCCACGAAGGTGGCTTTACCTTACCTGAACCCACGAAAGCCAAGGCACAAACTGGGATTAGATACCCCACTATGCTTTGCCCTAAACATTGATAGTTTTATACAACCACTATCCGCCCGGGAACTACGAGCAGCAGCTTAAAACCCAAAGGACTTGGCGGTGCTTTAGACCCACCTAGAGGAGCCTGTTCTAAAACCGATAACCCCCGTTCAACCTCACCTTTCCTTGTTCTCCCCGCCTATATACCGCCGTCGTCAGCTTACCCTATGAAGGTCCATTAGTAAGCACAATTGGTACAACCCAAAACGTCAGGTCGAGGTGTAGCGTATGGAAAGGGAAGAAATGGGCTACATTCCCTGTGACAGGGAATTACGAATAATATCACTGAAACGTGTATCTAGAAGGAGGATTTAGCAGTAAGCAGAAAATAGAGCGTTCTACTGAAACCGGCCCTGAAGCGCGCACACACCGCCCGTCACTCTCCCCAAGCATACTCTTACAACCTAACTTAAAACCTTTCATTAGCAAAGGGGAGGCAAGTCGTAACATGGTAAGTGTACCGGAAGGTGTACTTGGCAAAACCAAGACATAGTTTAAAGCAGAACACCTCCTTTACACGGAGGAAATATTCGTTCAATTCGAATTGTCCTGATACCGACTCGCTAGCCCAACCAATCAAAAACAACAAGACATAGTTACTAAACCCAAAGACACTAACGTCCACATAAACAAACCATTTTTCCCCCTTAGTATGGGCGACAGAAAAGGAACAACGGAGCGATAGAGAAAGTACCGCAAGGGAATGCTGAAAAACTAAATGAAATAAACAAGTGAAGCCTAGAAAAGCAGAGATATAAACTCGTACCTTTTGCATCATGATTTAGCCAGTGTAACCCAAGCAAAGAGCACTTTAGTTTGACAACCCGAAACTTCGTGAGCTACTCCAAGGCAACCTAATCAATAGGGCCAACCCGTCTCTGTAGCAAAAGAGTGGGAAGACCTTCGAGTAGAGGTGAAAGACCTACCGAACTTAGTAATAGCTGGTTGCCCAACAACTGGATAAAAGTTCAGCCTCCTGGCTTCTTCCTTCTCCAACCCCTTCTGTCTCAACAGATACTTTAAGAAACCAAGAGAGTTAGTCTAAGGGGGTACAGCCCCTTAGAAACAAGATACAACTTTTATAGGAGGATTAAGATCATAATTAACTAAGGCCATAAGTTAGGGTGGGCTTGAAAGCAGCCACCCCATCAAAAAGCGTTAAAGCTCAAACACACATCACTTACAAGCCCTAAGTTTCGACCACTACTTCTTACTCCCCTTACCCTACTGGGCCATCCCATGCAAACATGGGAGCGATCCTGCTAAAATCAGTATATAAGAGGACCTAACGGCCCTCTCCCTGCATATGTGTAAATCGGAAACGGACAACCCACCGAACCTTAACGGACCCAAACAACAGAGGGAACTGAACTACAGACAAAACAACCAGAAAAACACCCAAACAGACAACCGTTACCCCTACACAGGTATGCTTCCAGGGAAAGACTAAAAGAAAGAGAAGGAACTCGGCAAACACACCCAGCCTCGCCTGTTTACCAAAAACATCGCCTCTTGCTAAACCAAAAGTATAAGAGGTCCCGCCTGCCCTGTGACTATATGTTTAACGGCCGCGGTATTTTGACCGTGCGAAGGTAGCGCAATCACTTGTCTTTTAAATAGGGACCTGTATGAATGGCATAACGAGGGCTTAACTGTCTCCTTTTTCAAGTCAATGAAATTGATCTCCCCGTGCAGAAGCGGGGATAAACACATAAGACGAGAGGACCCTGTGGAGCTTCAGACACTAAAGCAGAACAGCATCAACACCCTGAACATAGGACACAAATAAACTGACTCCTGCCCTAATGTCTTTGGTTGGGGCGACCGCGGAGAAATATAAAACCCCCGCAAGGACTGAATGTACTACATTCACAACCAAGAGTGACAACTCTAACTAACAGAACTTCTGACCAGTAAGATCCGGCAATGCCGATCAATGAACCAAGTTACCCCAGGGATAACAGCGCAATCTCCTCTTAGAGTCCATATCGACGAGGGGGTTTACGACCTCGATGTTGGATCAGGACATCCTAATGGTGCAGCCGCTATTAAGGGTTCGTTTGTTCAACGATTAAAGTCCTACGTGATCTGAGTTCAGACAGGAGTAATCCAGGTCGGTTTCTATCTATGTCACAATCTTTTCTAGTACGAAAGGACCGAAAAGAAGGGGCCCATGTCTAAGATACGCCTCACTCCCACCTGATGAAAGCAGCTCAATCAAGCAAGGGAGTGTCATCCCCCCGTCTGAGAAAAAGACATGTTGATGTGGCAGAGCCCGGTCACACTGCAAAAGGCCTAAGCCCTTTGTACAGGGGTTCAAATCCTCTCTTCAACTATGATCTCAACACTTTTCACTCACATTATTAACCCCTTAACCTACATCATCCCTGTCCTCCTAGCTGTTGCCTTTCTTACATTAGTAGAACGAAAAGTCCTCGGATACATGCAATTTCGAAAAGGACCTAACATCGTTGGACCCTATGGCCTTCTACAACCAATCGCCGACGGAGTAAAACTATTTACTAAAGAACCCATCCGCCCCTCAACTGCCTCCCCTATCCTATTTCTCCTCGCCCCAATATTAGCCCTCACCCTTGCCCTCACCCTATGAGCCCCCCTCCCCATACCATACCCCATTCTAGACCTAAATCTAGGGATTCTCTTCATTCTTGCACTATCTAGCTTAGCAGTATACTCAATCCTAGGCTCAGGCTGAGCCTCAAATTCAAAATATGCTCTCATTGGAGCACTGCGAGCCGTAGCACAAACTATCTCCTATGAAGTCAGCCTAGGCCTAATTCTTTTAAACGCAATTATTTTCACAGGGGGCTTCACCCTACAAACCTTTAACACAGCCCAAGAAACCGTCTGACTTTTACTACCAGCATGACCCCTAGCCGCAATATGATATATCTCTACATTAGCCGAGACTAACCGAGCACCCTTCGACTTAACTGAAGGTGAATCAGAACTAGTATCGGGTTTTAATGTAGAATACGCAGGGGGTCCTTTCGCCCTATTCTTCCTAGCAGAGTACGCAAACATCCTTCTTATAAATACCCTCTCCGCCACTCTTTTCCTAGGAGCCTCCCACATCCCCACCATCCCAGAAATAACAACTATAAATCTAATAACAAAAGCAGCACTACTCTCCCTACTTTTCCTCTGAGTCCGAGCCTCCCACCCCCGCTTTCGATATGACCAATTAATACATTTAATCTGAAAAAACTTTCTCCCCCTCACACTAGCTCTGGTCATTTGACTTCTAGCACTCCCCATTGCACTGGCAGGCCTCCCCCCTCAAATTTAACCCCGGAACTGTGCCTGAAGTAAAGGACCACTTTGATAGAGTGAATCATGGGGGTTAAACCCCCTCCAGCTCCTTAGAAAGAAGGGATTCGAACCCTAACTGAAGAGATCAAAACTCTTAGTGCTTCCATTACACCACTTCCTAAGTAAGGTCAGCTAATCAAGCTCTTGGGCCCATACCCCAAACATGTAGGTTAAAACCCTGCCTTTACTAATGAATCCATACATCTTAGCTATCCTACTACTCAGCCTTGGACTAGGAACCACCATCACACTCACAAGCTCCCACTGACTATTCGCCTGAATAGGCTTAGAAATTAATACCCTAGCCATTCTCCCCCTTATAGCCCAACAACACCACCCTCGAGCAGTTGAAGCCACCATTAAATATTTTCTTACCCAAGCAACGGGGGCAGCCACCCTACTATTCGCCAGCACCACCAATGCATGACTAACAGGCCAATGAGACATCCTACAAATATCTCACCCCTTCTCAATCACACTAGCCATCCTTGCTCTCTCCCTAAAAATTGGTCTCGCCCCTCTACATACATGATTACCTGAAGTACTCCAAGGACTAGACTTAACTACAGGACTTATTCTATCAACCTGACAGAAACTAGCACCATTCGCCCTACTCCTTCAAATTCAACCCACCAACCCCCTAATCTTAGTGATACTCGGCATTACCTCAACCCTCGTTGGTGGTTGAGGAGGGCTAAACCAAACACAACTCCGAAAAATTCTAGCATACTCCTCCACAGCCCACTTAGGTTGAATAATTTTAATCCTCCAATTCTCCCCCTCACTGGCCCTCCTAACCCTGGTTATGTACTTAATCATAACATCCTCAACATTCCTTGTATTTAAACTAAACAAATCAACAAACATTAACATACTCGCCACCTCCTGAGCAAAAGCCCCCGCACGGACAACCCTCACCCCCCTCATCTTACTATCACTAGGGGGCCTTCCACCACTTACAGGCTTTATACCAAAATGACTTATCCTCCAAGAACTTACCAAACAAGAACTAGCACCTATCGCCACACTAGCTGCACTAACCGCCCTACTAAGCCTGTACTTCTACTTACGACTAACATACGCCATAACACTTACCATATCTCCCAACAACATCACAGGCACAACCCCATGACGCCTCTCATCCCTACAACTAACACTCCTACTTGCCACCCTAACCATAGCAACAATTTCTCTACTCCCACTTACCCCTGCTATTACAATACTATTTACCCCATAGGGACTTAGGTTAATATCAGACCAAGAGCCTTCAAAGCCCTAAGCGAGAGTGAAAATCTCCCAGCCCCTGATAAGACTTGCAGGACACTAACCCACATCTTCTATATGCAAAACAGACACTTTAATTAAGCTAAAGCCTTCTAGATGGGTAGGCTTCGATCCTACAAACTCTTAGTTAACAGCTAAGCGCCCAAACCAACGAGCATCCATCTAACTTTCCCCCGCCTAATTAAACAACTAATAGGCGGGGGAAAGCCCCGGCAAACGTCTAGCTTGCTTCTTTAGATTTGCAATCTAATATGTAAAAACACCTCAGGGCTTGGTAAGAAGAGGAATTAAACCTCTGTCCATGGGGCTACAATCCACCGCTTAAACATTCAGCCATCCTACCTGTGGCCATTACACGTTGATTTTTCTCGACTAATCATAAAGACATTGGTGCCCTTTATCTTGTATTTGGTGCCTGGGCTGGGATAGTAGGAACAGCCCTTAGTTTGCTAATTCGGGCTGAACTAAGCCAGCCAGGGGCTCTGCTAGGTGATGACCAGATTTATAATGTAATTGTTACAGCACATGCTTTTGTAATAATCTTTTTTATAGTAATACCAATCATAATCGGTGGCTTTGGAAATTGACTCATCCCACTTATAATTGGTGCCCCTGACATAGCGTTCCCTCGGATGAATAACATGAGTTTCTGACTTCTCCCCCCTTCTTTCCTGCTTCTTCTTGCCTCCTCTGGAGTAGAAGCTGGTGCTGGCACTGGCTGAACGGTCTACCCACCCCTAGCCGGAAATCTAGCCCATGCAGGTGCATCTGTAGACTTAACTATCTTCTCACTACACTTGGCAGGGATTTCATCAATCCTAGGTGCAATTAACTTTATTACAACCATCATTAACATAAAACCCCCTGCCATCTCTCAATACCAAACACCTTTGTTCGTATGGGCTGTACTAATCACAGCAGTACTACTACTCCTCTCCCTCCCTGTCCTTGCCGCCGGCATCACTATGTTGCTTACTGATCGTAACCTTAACACTACCTTCTTTGATCCAGCCGGAGGAGGAGATCCAATTCTTTACCAGCACTTGTTCTGATTCTTCGGCCACCCAGAGGTCTACATTCTAATTCTCCCTGGCTTCGGAATGATCTCCCACATCGTTGCGTACTACTCTGGAAAAAAAGAACCATTTGGTTATATAGGAATGGTTTGGGCCATAATAGCAATCGGCCTCTTAGGATTTATTGTGTGAGCACACCACATGTTTACAGTTGGTATAGATGTAGATACACGCGCTTATTTTACATCAGCCACTATAATTATTGCAATCCCCACTGGCGTTAAAGTCTTTAGCTGACTAGCCACACTTCATGGAGGAACCATTAAATGAGAGACCCCCCTTCTATGGGCACTTGGCTTTATCTTCCTTTTCACAGTAGGAGGTTTAACAGGAATTGTCCTAGCCAACTCTTCACTCGATATTGTCCTACACGACACATACTATGTAGTTGCCCACTTCCATTATGTGCTCTCCATAGGAGCCGTGTTCGCCATCGTAGCTGCCTTCGTACACTGATTCCCACTATTCTCAGGCTACACCCTTCATAGCACTTGAACAAAAATCCACTTTGGCATCATGTTTGTTGGTGTTAACCTTACCTTCTTCCCTCAACACTTCTTAGGGCTAGCCGGAATACCTCGTCGATATTCAGACTACCCAGACGCCTATACCCTATGAAATACCGTCTCCTCTATTGGCTCTATGATCTCACTCGTAGCTGTTATTATATTCCTCTTCATTATCTGAGAAGCATTCGCTTCTAAACGTGAAGTCCTTGCAGTAGAACTGACCTCAACCAACGTAGAATGACTCCACGGCTGCCCTCCCCCATACCACACATTTGAGGAACCCGCATTTGTTCAAATTCAACCATCCTAAACGAGAAAGGGAGGAGTTGAACCCCCGTATGTTGGTTTCAAGCCAACCACATAACCGTTCTGTCACTTTCTTTATAAGACACTAGTAAAGCTGAGTATTACCCCGCCTTGTCAAGGCGTATTCGTGGGTTCGAACCCCCACGTGTCTTAAACTATCAATGGCACATCCCACACAACTAGGTTTACAAGATGCAGCTTCACCAGTAATAGAAGAACTTCTACACTTCCACGATCACGCCTTAATAATCGTCTTTCTTATTAGCACATTAGTCCTTTATATTATTGTCGCCATAATTTCCACTAAACTAACCAATAAATATGTTTTAGACTCCCAAGAAATTGAAATTATCTGAACAATCCTCCCAGCAGTAGTCCTTATTCTAATCGCACTCCCCTCCCTTCGCATTCTCTACCTAATAGATGAAATTAATGACCCCCACATTACAATTAAAGCTATGGGCCACCAATGATACTGAAGCTACGAATACACTGACTATGAAGACCTTGGATTTGACTCATACATAATTCCCACACAAGACCTAACCCCAGGCCAATTCCGTCTACTAGAAGCCGACCATCGAATGGTTATTCCCCTAAACTCCCCAATCCGAGTACTAGTCTCTGCCGAAGATGTACTTCACTCATGAGCAGTCCCAGCCCTAGGTGTTAAAATAGACGCCGTCCCAGGTCGCCTAAACCAAACAGCCTTCATTACATCTCGACCAGGGGTATTTTACGGACAATGCTCTGAAATCTGCGGTGCAAACCATAGTTTTATACCAATCGTAGTGGAAGTTGTCCCCTTAGAACACTTTGAAAACTGATCCTCATTTATACTTCAAGATGCCTCGCTAAGAAGCTAAACAAGGAGTAGCACTAGCCTTTTAAGCTAGAGATTGGTGACTACCGACCACCCTCAGCGACATGCCCCAACTCCTCCCACTACCCTGATTCAGTACACTACTCCTTGCCTGAGTAATTTTCCTAACTTTCTTCCCTAAAAAAGTAACGGCTCACACTTACCCCTATAAACCTACCCCCCTTAAACTCCAAAAACTAGAGAAAACCTCTTGAGATTGACCCTGAGTGTAAGTTTCTTTGACCAGTTTATAAGCACAACATATTTGGGCATCCCTTTAATCGCACTAGCACTGATCTTTCCTTCTATTTTATACCCCACTATCACAACCCGGTGGCTTAACAACCGACTACTCACACTACAAAGCGCGTTCATTAACCGCTTTACGCACCAACTTCTACTGCCCCTAAATGTAGGCGGCCACAAGTGAGCTACCCTTCTAGCCTCCCTAATACTCTTCTTAATCTCGCTTAACTTGCTCGGACTTCTACCCTACACTTTTACCCCTACTGCCCAACTATCCCTTAACTTAGGATTTGCAGTCCCCCTTTGATTAGCCACTGTTATTATTGGAATACGAAACCAACCAGACCACGCACTAGGACACCTCCTACCAGAAGGCACCCCTAACCTCCTAATCCCTATACTTATTATTATCGAAACAATCAGCCTATTCATCCGCCCCTTAGCCTTAGGCGTACGGCTAACCGCCAACCTAACAGCTGGTCACTTACTCATTCAACTAATCTCCACAGCCGCATTTGTACTTCTTCCACTCATACCAACTGTAGCCATTCTTACAGCAACAGTCCTAGTTCTTTTAACATTACTAGAAATTGCCGTGGCAATAATCCAAGCCTATGTATTCGTATTGCTACTAACACTCTACTTACAAGAAAATATTTAATGGCACATCAAGCACATGCATATCACATAGTTGACCCAAGCCCCTGGCCCCTAACAGGGGCAATCGCCGCCCTGCTAATAACATCAGGACTTGCAATTTGATTCCACTTCCACTCCACAACCCTTATTGTCTTGGGCACTATTCTACTCCTTTTAACAATATACCAATGATGACGAGATATTATTCGAGAAGGCACATTTCAAGGCCACCACACACCTCCTGTACAAAAAGGGCTTCGATATGGGATAATTCTTTTCATTACATCAGAAGTCTTCTTCTTCCTAGGCTTCTTCTGAGCTTTTTACCACTCAAGCCTCGCCCCTACTCCCGAATTAGGAGGTTGCTGACCCCCGACAGGCATTTCTACCTTAGACCCCTTTGAAGTTCCTCTCCTCAATACAGCTGTTCTTCTCGCCTCAGGGGTGACCGTAACCTGAGCACATCATAGCATTATAGAACGGGAACGAAAACAGGCTATTCAATCACTTACACTAACCATTCTCCTAGGCTTCTACTTTACATTCCTTCAAGCCATAGAATACTACGAAGCCCCTTTCACAATTGCAGATGGTGTCTATGGCTCAACCTTTTTCGTAGCTACCGGTTTCCACGGCCTACACGTTATTATTGGCTCCACTTTTCTAGCTATCTGTCTACTCCGACAAATCCAATACCACTTTACATCTGAACACCACTTCGGGTTCGAAGCAGCCGCTTGATACTGACACTTTGTAGACGTTGTCTGACTTTTCTTATATATTTCCATCTACTGATGAGGTTCCTAATCTTTCTAATATTAAAATAAGTATAAGTGACTTCCAATCACCCGGTCTTGGTTAAAATCCAAGGAAAGATAATGAATTTACTTTCAACTGTTATCACTATTGCTCTTACCCTGTCCGTTGCCTTAGCTGTCCTATCCTTCTGACTTCCCTCAATACACCCAGACCATGAAAAACTATCTCCCTACGAGTGCGGTTTTGATCCCTTAGGAACAGCCCGCCTTCCATTTTCCCTGCGATTCTTCCTCGTTGCTATCTTATTCCTCCTATTTGATTTAGAAATTGCCCTCTTACTACCACTCCCCTGAGGAGATCAACTAACATCCCCTACACTCACCTTCTTATGAGCCTCCATCGTCCTCATTCTCCTCACCCTAGGCCTTATTTACGAATGACTTCAAGGAGGACTAGACTGAGCCGAATAAGTGATTAGTTTAATAAAAACATTTGATTTCGGCTCAAACACTTATGGTTAAACCCCATAATCACCTAATGACCCCCGTGCACTTCGCTTTTTCATCCGCTTTTATCTTAGGCCTGTCAGGCCTAACATTTCACCGAACCCACCTTCTCTCTGCCCTCCTATGTTTAGAAGGAATAATACTCTCCCTATTCATTGCCCTCTCCCTCTGAACTGTTCAATTAAACTCCACAAGCCTTTGCGCAGCCCCTATATTACTACTGGCTTTCTCAGCCTGTGAAGCAAGCGCAGGACTCGCTCTACTAGTAGCAACAGCCCGCACCCACGGAACCGACAACCTCCAAAACCTCAACCTACTACAATGCTAAAAATCCTCATCCCTACCCTAATACTCATTCCAACTGCCTGATTAACTCCAGCCAAATGACTCTGACCTACAACCCTCGCCCATAGTATACTAATTGCACTAATCAGCCTTTCATGGCTAAAACATGCAATAGAAACAGGCTGAACCACCCTAAGCCTATTCATAGCTACAGACCCCTTATCCACACCCTTACTAGTCCTCACATGCTGACTCCTCCCCCTAATAATCTTAGCAAGCCAAAACCACACAGCAACAGAACCAATCAACCGCCAGCGCATATACATTTCACTACTAACATCCCTCCAAATCTTCCTCATTTTAGCCTTCGGAGCAACCGAAATAATCATGTTTTATATTATATTTGAAGCAACTCTCATCCCAACCTTAATCCTTATTACCCGATGAGGTAACCAAACAGAACGCCTTAACGCAGGAGTTTACTTCCTATTTTACACCTTAGCAGGCTCCCTCCCCCTACTCGTCGCTCTCCTGCTTCTCCAAAACTACACTGGAACACTCTCCCTATTTACCCTACCATTCTCCAGCCCCCTGCATCTCTCATCCTATGCCGACAAACTATGATGAACAGCCTGCCTACTGGCATTCCTTGTTAAAATACCACTATACGGCGTCCACCTATGACTCCCTAAAGCACACGTTGAAGCCCCCATTGCAGGATCAATAGTACTTGCTGCAGTCCTCTTAAAACTAGGAGGTTATGGAATAATACGAATAATTGTTATACTAGACCCCCTTACCAAAAACCTAAGCTACCCCTTCCTCATCTTTGCATTATGAGGGGTGATCATAACAAGCTCAATCTGTCTCCGTCAAACTGACCTAAAATCCCTAATTGCTTACTCCTCAGTAAGCCACATAGGTTTAGTAGTAGGAGGGATCCTGATCCAAACACCCTGAGGATTCACAGGAGCCCTAATCCTTATAATTGCCCACGGATTAACTTCTTCCGCCTTATTCTGTCTAGCTAATACAAATTATGAACGAACACACAGCCGAACCATACTGCTAGCACGCGGCTTACAAATCATTCTCCCCCTAATAACAACCTGATGATTCATTGCCAGCCTTGCTAACCTTGCACTACCCCCCTTCCCTAACCTCATAGGCGAGCTAATAATCATTACCTCCCTATTTAACTGATCTTGGTGAACGATTGTACTAACTGGAGGAGGTACCCTCATCACCGCAAGCTACTCCCTCTACATGTTCCTGATAACTCAACGAGGGCCCCTCCCCTCACATATCCTTGGCCTTAACCCCTCCCATTCACGAGAACATCTACTTATAACCCTTCACCTCTTGCCACTACTTCTCATCATCCTTAAACCCGAACTAATCTGAGGTTGAACTGGTTGTAGATATAGTTTCAACAAAAACATTAGATTGTGATTCTAAAAACAGGGGTTGAAATCCCCTTATCCACCGAGGAAGGTTCGCTTGACAAATGAATCCTGCTAAGCTTCATTCACCTCGGTTGAACTCCGGGGCTATCCCCAACAATGCCGCTCCCAAAGGATAATAGTCCATCCATTGGTCTTAGGAACCAAAAACTCTTGGTGCAACTCCAAGTGGCAGCTATGCACACCCCTTCCATTATAATAACTTCAAGCCTAATCATCATTTTTTCCCTACTCACCTTCCCTGTTCTAACAGCACTTAGTCCTCTCCCTCAAAAAGAAAATTGGGCCCTCACACATGTAAAAACTGCAGTAAAACTGGCATTTCTTGTTAGCCTTCTTCCCCTCTTCCTCTTCCTTAGCCAAGGGGCAGAAACAATTATCACATCATGAAACTGAATAGACACCACAACCTTCGATATTAATATCAGTTTTAAATTCGACCACTACTCCATCATTTTCACACCAATTGCCCTATATGTAACATGATCAATTCTAGAATTTGCATCCTGATACATGCACGCCGACCCATATATAAACCGATTCTTCAAATACCTTTTAGTCTTCCTTATCGCAATAATCGTCCTAGTAACAGCAAACAACTTATTCCAACTCTTTATTGGCTGAGAAGGTGTAGGAATCATGTCCTTCCTGCTCATCGGATGATGATACGGCCGAGCAGATGCAAACACCGCAGCCCTACAAGCAGTTGTATACAACCGAGTAGGAGACATCGGACTAATTTTCGCAATAGCATGAATAGCAACTAACCTTAACTCCTGAGAAATACAACAAATATTTATCACTGCTAAAGACTTCGATCTTACCTTCCCACTACTCGGACTAATCGTAGCTGCTACAGGAAAATCCGCCCAATTCGGACTACACCCCTGACTCCCCTCTGCCATAGAAGGACCTACACCAGTATCCGCCCTACTCCACTCCAGCACTATGGTAGTTGCAGGCATCTTCCTCCTAGTACGTATAAGCCCCTTCTTAGAAAACAATCCTACCGCTCTCACCACCTGCCTATGCCTCGGAGCCCTAACCACACTATTCACAGCTACGTGCGCCTTAACCCAAAACGACATCAAAAAAATTGTTGCATTCTCAACATCAAGCCAACTAGGCCTAATAATAGTAACAATTGGATTAAACCAACCCCAACTGGCATTCCTTCACATCTGCACCCACGCTTTCTTCAAAGCAATACTTTTCCTATGTTCTGGCTCCATTATTCACAGCCTCAACGACGAACAAGACATTCGAAAAATAGGTGGTATGCACCGTCTCACCCCCTTTACCTCTTCTTGCCTTACCATTGGAAGCCTAGCCCTCACAGGCACTCCCTTCCTGGCAGGTTTCTTCTCCAAAGATGCTATCATTGAAGCCCTCAACACCTCATACCTAAACGCCTGAGCCCTTACCTTAACTCTCCTAGCCACCTCCTTCACAGCCATTTATAGTTTACGCATTGTTTTCTTCGTCTCAATAGGACATCCCCGGTTTAATGCACTCTCCCCCATTAACGAAAACAACCCCGCAGTCATTAACCCTATCAAACGATTAGCCTGAGGAAGCATTGTAGCCGGCCTATTAATTACCTCCAACCTACTTCCACTAAAAACACCTATCATATCTATACCCCCTATACTCAAACTAACCGCCTTAGCCGTAACTATCCTAGGCTTACTAGTTGCCTTAGAACTCGCATCCTTAACAAGCAAACAGTTTAAACCCACCCCTCACCTCCCCACTTTCCGCTTTTCCAATATACTTGGCTTTTTCCCAATAATCATACACCGACTCCCTCCTATAATAAGCCTCGGAATAGGCCAATCCATCGCCAACCAAATGGTAGATCAAACCTGATTAGAAAAATCAGGCCCTAAAGCCACAATTAAACTTAACACCCCCCTCATCACAACAACAAGCAACTCTCAACAAGGTCTAGTAAAGACCTACCTTATCTTTTTTTTCATCACCCTTATATTTACCACTCTAATTTTCTTCATTTAAACGGCACGAAGAGTACCCCGACTTAAACCCCGAGTCAACTCTAACACAACAAACAACGTCAAAAGAAGAACACCCGCCCCAACAATTAGTATCCACCCCCCTTCCGAATATATCACCGCTACTCCCCCATTATCGGCACGAAATACACCAAAAGGTCCTCACTCATCAGCTGACCCAGAAAAAACCCCAACCCACCCATGCCAAAACACACTAACCCCCACCATTACAGCAACTGCATAACAACACATATATACTACAACCGTTGAATTTAACCAAGACTCAGGATAAGGCTCCGCAGCTAAAGCTGCAGAATATGCAAACACAACCAACATACCACCCAGATAAATTAAAAACAGAATTAAAGCCAAGAAAGAACTTCCATATTCCACAAGAATCCCACACCCAACCCCCGCTACCACCACCAACCCAAACGCACCAAAAAAGGGGGAAGGATTAGAAGCAACCGCAATCGCTCCCACGATTCAACAAATTAAAAAACAAATAATAGTAAAGCACATAATTTCTGCCAGGACTCTAACCAGGACCAATGGCTTGAAAAACCATCGTTGTAATTTCAACTACAAAAACCCTACCAATGGCCAGCCTACGAAAAACACACCCCCTTCTAAAAATCGCAAATGATGCACTAGTTGACCTCCCAGCCCCCTCCAACATTTCAGTCTGATGAAACTTCGGCTCATTACTCGGACTCTGCCTCTTTGCTCAAATCCTCACAGGCCTATTTCTAGCCATACATTATACATCAGATATTGCCACAGCCTTCTCATCTGTCACCCATATCTGTCGGGATGTAAGCTATGGTTGACTTATCCGTAACATACATGCCAACGGAGCCTCCCTCTTTTTCATTTGCTTATACGCCCACATTGGCCGAGGACTTTACTACGGTTCCTATCTCTACAAAGAAACCTGAAATATTGGGGTTATTCTCCTCCTCCTAGTAATAATAACAGCTTTCGTTGGTTACGTCCTTCCCTGAGGACAAATATCCTTCTGAGGAGCCACAGTCATTACCAACCTCCTCTCTGCCGTCCCCTATATTGGCAGCACCCTCGTCCAATGAATTTGAGGAGGATTCTCCGTAGACAACGCTACCCTTACCCGTTTCTTCGCATTCCATTTTTTACTCCCTTTCATTATTGCAGCTGCCACCATACTCCATCTTCTTTTCCTTCACGAGACAGGCTCAAATAACCCCATTGGTCTCAACTCTAACGCAGATAAAATTTCCTTCCACCCATACTTTTCTTACAAAGACCTACTAGGATTTGCAGCCCTACTCTTAACACTTATATCCCTAGCACTATTTTCTCCCAACCTTCTAGGAGATCCGGACAACTTCACCCCCGCTAACCCCCTCGTCACCCCTCCCCATATCAAGCCTGAGTGATATTTCCTATTCGCTTATGCCATCCTCCGATCAATCCCAAATAAATTAGGAGGAGTTTTAGCACTACTAGCCTCAATCCTAGTCCTGATACTACTTCCAATCCTCCACACCTCTAAACAACGAGCCCTAACCTTCCGCCCTCTCAGCCAATTCCTATATTGAACCTTAATCGCCGACGTAGTCATTCTCACCTGAATCGGAGGCATACCTGTAGAACACCCCTTCATTATCATCGGCCAAATCGCATCTATCCTATACTTCTCGCTCTTCTTATTTTTAATACCAGCAGCAGGATGAGCAGAAAATAAATTCCTCAAATGACACTGTATCTGTAGTTCAAAAGCCTAGAACGCCGGTCTTGTAAACCGGATGTCGGAGGTTGAAATCCTCCTTGGTACTTCAAAGAGAGGAGATTCTAACTCCCACCTCTAGCTCCCAAAGCTAAAATTCTAAACTAAACTACTCTTTGAATTACATATATGCATTAATTACATATATGCATTAATTACATATATGCATTAATTACATATATGCATTAATTACATATATGCATTAATTACATATATGCATTAATTACATATATGCATTAATTACATATATGTTGAATAACCAGTTATAGATTAATACCATTATGTTTAAGCAATAATAATATAAACAACAATACATAAAGCTAGAACAATTATAATAAACAATTAGTAAATTTGCTAGGCATATGCTTTTACATGACACAAATATTACAGAAAACTATAATGCGCAGTAAGAACCTACCAACCAGCACCAATAACAAAGCATACGGTTATTGATAATGATGGACAATTACTGTGGGGGTTTCACTTAGTGAACTATTCCTGGCATTTGGTTCCTACTTCAGGGTCAAAAATTGATATTATTCCTCACACTTTCATTGACCCTTGCATAAGTTAATAGTGTTAACCATTAAACTCGTTACCCAACAAGCCGAGCGTTCATTCCAGAGGGTAGGGGGTTAATCTTTTTTTTTTTCCTTTTCACTGACATTTCAGAGTGAATTCAATTTAAACATGGAAGTGGTACAATAATTTTATGTAATTAACAAACAGTTTAATGTAATGTTAAAAAGGTATTACTATAATAATTACATAACTGATTTCAAGGACATAACATAACTTTATTCCGCTCGAAACATCCACCTATAAGATCACCCTGGGTGTAAAAATTTTTTCGTTCGTTAAACCCCCCCTACCCCCCAAACCCCTGAGATTCCTAACACTCCTGTAAACCCCCCGGAAACAGGACTAAATCTCAAGTGGTAAATTTTTAACTTAAAATGCGTTTATTACATTAATGCAACTTTTTAATTT